TTCCCCAGCACGAGTGCAGGGCCTGGAGAACAGGCCCTCAATAAACAGTACAGTTAAAAATAAAGCAGTGAATCAAGGTACAAATGAACCTGGCGAGGCTTCATGTCAAAGTGCACCAGTATCAATGACAATGAGCCACAGTGTGTTTTTCCTGAATGTGGCTTTCCAAGACGTTTAGTTACATAAAATTAAATACAATTTTACATATTTTTCTATTTATTATTAATAATTCTGCCTTTGAACTTGATTTAATTTTAAAAGTTCATTTAGGAACTGTCCACTGCGTTCCACATATACATTTAACAATAAGACCTCATCTTTTTTTATAGTACTTTAGAGTTTACAAAGCGTCACATTCATTATCTTCTATTTTAGTTGTGGCAGGATAGGGATGAAAGAAAATTGACTTGGAGTAGGAAAATTGCAGTTTCAAATCCCAGCTTTGACACTTGCTATTAGTGTGGCTTTGACCCTTTGAACCTCAGTTTTACCATCTGCAAAATGGAAGTATGCTTACTGTCCTCGCAGCCCTGGAACTTAGTAAATGATGAACAAATGGCAGCTGCTGTTGTTGTTGTCACTTTGATTATCATCACCTCTGCCATCCAGTATCAGTGGAGAGAGAGGATGAGCAAGTATCAGCTCCCTCGAGTCAAAAGAGGAAAAGACAGTCTCCAGATGTGGTTGGGGACCACCTGATTATATGCTCCCACGGGAGAAGCAGAAGGAGGTATCTGAGAACAAAAGTTTAGACGCCCAGGTTGGCTCACCAAGATTTTCTTCTCAGGTCCTTCATTTAAATCAGAGCGTTAGGTCCTAAACCTTTTTGATCATCAAACTCACAAGTAGGAATTGAAAACTAGACTTTTGGGACTAACCCACAAAAGTTTTTACTCTGGTTCACCTGGATCAAGGCTCCAAAATGTGCATGTATGGGTGTGGGCATGGGTGTGTGTGGATGTAGAGTTTCCTAAGTGTGTATGATTACCAGTCAAGTTTGGACATCACAGGAATAGATGATTTCCCTGGGCAATCCACAGCCTGCTAAATCGCAGTGGTGAGTCTGAGCCTGCCTTTGAAGGGTTGCGTGTTTCCGGAGAGAAGGCATTTCCTCCTCTACTAAAGGTTCTCCATCTTAGGACCAGTCTCTAGGGAGAGGTGGCCCTCAGGCTGAGGGTTACTCTGAAACCCTTTTAAAAGTTGTTGAAGAGGCTC